AAAAACTTACTTGTGCAATTCTAAAAAAACAGTTTTAAATGTTTTAGATCATTTATAATGTGAAAGGTTAAATCTAGCATGTTTAGCTATATGGATTTTAAAAATTAGGCTTTATCAATAGAAATTCCATAACCGACCAATAAAACTGATAAATTTTATCAATCCCGTGGGAATCGTAAAGAATCGCACAACGTTTCTTTATTTAACAGTATAAAAACTGCCTTCATTTTTATTTGCGGCAAAATACAAAAATCGCATATGAAAGAAAAAAAGCTGCACTCTTCACCTTTATATCCATACAATAATTTGATCAAAAGATATCGAAATTTTTTAGGTAGGTTTGATACAAATTTTATTTAAAAATTTAATTTCACGCTCGTAATACATTAATAATCACTAGTAGCTTTAAGCGTTGTTTCTGAGAAAACGGTTCATTCTATCCATTTTTTATTATTTTACGGTTTCTCAAATAAAGGAAAAAATTATATTACAAATAGATACTGGTAAAAGCATTTTTCGACATATTGAAGACTTTTAAATCTTCGTTTTCTTGTACTATTACACCATTTGTCTATGCAATCTCTTGATTGTCGCCCCTTTTATATAAATTCCAAATAAATATTTTTATACCGTCTATTGTTTTCGCATTCCATTTATATTAACATATTTATACCAATATCTTTGCGTGGTATTGTCAAAAATAGCATTTTCTACTCGTAACACTTCTTGGCTACTTAATGTTCTTATTTTAATATTTCTTATTTTGTTCCTAAAGTTTGGTGCAATATCATTATAATGTCTCAGTTCTCTTTGATATCCTCAACATGTATAAATTATATTATTTTATTTTAATTATGGAATTTTGGTCGCTAAATTTGTTGGAACGTGGAAATGATTTTTTGAGAGCATATTTTTTAAAACATCTCTTTAATCCGGTAAAACTGATAAATTTACGTCTGCAGGTTATTATTGCGTGATTAGAGTAGCAAACAATCTTCTTCCAATAATATATCTGACAATATCGACTGGACCTTTATCAAATTACTTTGCTATATCATGCAGTGTGTCAATTTTAAAACTTTTAATGGGCTATATCTCACGAACAAAAGCTGATATCCAAAAATGCTTGAAACCGTTTCTAGGAAAGAGAACTCACCCCCATCAGCCCCACACACCACAACCAAAAAAGTTTAAATTGCAAAACCCCTACTTATGATAAATCATTGAAAAGACTATAAAAAATTCTATCCAATGGTATAAATAATTATTATACAGTGTGAAGAAATAATTGTGAAACTTTAGCTTAAATAGAAAATTAAATTTTTAGAGATTTAATTTAATTAAAAGAGATTTTTGTTAGTTCTGTTGATGACCCTGTATAATTATTGTTTATTAATTATACAGGGTCTTAATATCAGTAAGCTTACTATGACTTTTGTATTTGTAATGCTATCACTCGTACTATTATTTTTAACGATAAGTGCCCGTCGGATTTTTTTTTGTTAAATAAAAATTAATTTGCCGTTTTTGCAAAACAAGTTTTAAACATCTGTTTTTTTGGGTTCTGTCAGATTCAATAATTTTTGGTTTATTTGAGAATTTTAAATGTTATTAGTTTTCATCACTTGTACGATCGTTACTGTCATTCAGCAGTAGTTGTCACGATGGTTTACAGCAGGGGTGCTCAAACTTGAACTGCTGGCGATCTACCTCAATATTTTTAGACTACTTACGATCGACTCTGAGAGACTACAAGTGTGTGTGATGCAGGGTTGTCGTACATACACGATACACCCTACCTACCTAGGTAGGGCGTACCGTAGCATATATAGATATTAGCTTTCTGCACAATATAGGTACATTATTTTAGTCAAGGTTTGGCTTAGGTTTAGTTAGGTTCTTCTCTACAATATCAATGAAAAAACTCATAGTTATTCAAAATTGCGAGTTTATTTGTTGTTACAAAACAAAAGAGTTACATATGGTGTTAAACTTAACTAAGGAGTGGCTTTGGTTGTTGAAGCGTGGCACTGCATATCCTCAGCATACTTTTCATAAGATCGTACGTAACCACTGAGTACTAATCGCAAGCATGATGTCATATGATCGTCAGTTAGTCCTTGCTTTCAAAGACGGAAAATGTTTTAGATCCTTTCTTTTCAGTTGATCTATCATAAGTTGCAATTTACTTTTGAATGCGTTTACTGCGCTAATCATCTCACTAATAGTTTTTCCTTTACCTTGAAGCTCTAAGTTAACGGTGTTTAAGTGCGTTGTGATGTCAGTCAAAAATGCCAAATCATTCAGCCATTTTTCGTTTTTCAAAATCTGAGTGTCATCACCTCTTTCGTCTAGAAAAGCTGTTATTTCGGGCAATAATTCTTGACACCTTTCTAGGAATTTTCCGCGACTTAACCACCTGACGTCCGTGTGAAGAACTAAATCAGTGTGTTCAGCTGACTCCCTATCTTCATCCCTATCATCAATTTTTGTTGCAATGCCCATAATTTCCTCCGTGTTTAAAACTTTTGAACACAAAACTTGTTGATGTATAATGCAATGAAATGAATAAAATGAAGGGAATTCTTCAGTAGCTCGACAGAATGCCACAAAACCGTTTTTGTTTCCAGTCATTGCTGGTGCTCCATCGGTTGTAATGCACATTAATTTATATATTGGTAGCTCGTAGTTGTTTGCAAAATTTAAGAAAACGTCATATATATCTTCGCCACGGGTTTTCCCCTTCAGAGGAATGATTGTCAAAAATTCTTCCTTAGCCAACATGTCATTGAATACCATCCGAATAAAAATACACAGCTGGGCAGTGTCTGTTATATCGATGGATTCGTCGAACTGTAAAGAAAAGTCTGTATAATGCGGTTCCGTCAAACGCGCCGCCCGAAACTAGGCTGTACTGTCTCTCGTCTAGAAACAACACGGCTTTTCTTTGACAAGTGCCGCGCGTTACTTTGATAAAGCCACCTTTTGCCGCAAGCAGTGTTATTTTATTACGTAATACATTTTTGTAGTTGATAGAATATCATCCCAAATTTGATTAATAATTATAATAAATATTGAATTAATAAAATAATTAGTTAATATATGTAAATATAAAATATGCTGTGTGGACAGTATTTTGTTGTCCCCACTTCTTTGAATTGCAATGATGCTTAGTCAAGCATTCTATGTATTTGTATAGTTCAGTACGTTTAACTCTGCTGACAGTAGTTTAGTTACCTACCTACTTATTATTTTTTTTTCTTCTCGAGATCTACCCAAAAAGCACTCGCGATCGACCAGTCGATCGTGATCGACCGTTTGAGCACCCCTGGTTTACAGTATACCAGAACGCATGTAGATCATTTTCATATTTAAACTTTGATGGTATACAAGGCAACTATCGAACACAGTAATTAATTAAATCTTGCCCAAGTACTTTCGATCAATAGATCATCTTCAGGGGCATTTCGTCAGTTGTGGCCTATCCGACGTGAGCAGAATGTCATACATGTAAATTTGGACATAATAATACAATACACAAAGACAAACACTTTAAAATTTTTAAAAAGGAGAAGCTACATGTTATATAGAAGCTGGAGACAGAATGACATCCGGAGACAATATAACCGGAGATAGAATGTGTCATATTTGCCTCCCAGAACCAGTGTTATTTACGAACAGCTCAAATATTTCATAAAAGACATCCGGATAAAAATTTAACTCTCGTGTACGTCCGCGATTTAGTTGAAAAGTTTAGGAAAACGAGATCAGTGTAAAATAAAAAAAGGGATGCCCCAAGATTACTGAATGAAGTATCCCAAATTGAGGTCCTTGAAAATTTTGCAATAGAGCATACTGCGTCAACACGTCAAGTATCTGAAATGACAAGTCTGTCACATAAGACGGTTAAAAAGGTAATGAAATTACATAAGTTTCACCCGTACAAAACACAAATTCTTCAAGAACTAGGCGATGATTATCCAGACCGAAGAATTGAGTTTTGTGAATTCATGACTGAAAGAATTCGCGTTGAACCGAGAACGTTAAAAAATATTTGTTTCACTGATGAATGTACTTTTATGCTGAATGGTAATGTAAGTAAACAAAACTGTTGGTACTGGAGTGATGCGAACCCGCATCGATTTAGAGAAGGTCACACTCAATATCCTGAAAAACTGAATGTTTGGACAGAAATATTAGGCGATGCTATAATTGGCCCCTTGTTCATATCAGGTAATTTAAGTGACGACCTTTATCTCGATATGCTGGAAAACACCATCGAACTTTTAATTGGATTGGATTGGATCAAACAAATGGATTGGAAAGAGAGGTTCTATTTAGTGGCCAGCGAGGTCACCAGACTTACCGCCACCTGACTTTTTTCTATGGGGTTACCTCAAGTCAGTTGTTTATAAGACTCAACCTGCGTCACTTGGGGAATTGCGAGAAAGAATTACGCAAGCATATCGCGCTATTACTAGAACAACATTTGCCACAGTTCATGCAGAATTTAAAAATGAGCTGTATTATTGTTTATAAAACAACGGAACCCACTTTGATCACTTTAATCATTTACTTAATTGACATTGTTAATAAATTTGTAGTTCAACAAAAACCTCATTAAATTTTCCATTTAAGCCAAAGTTTCACAATTATTGATTCACCCTATATAATTATTATATATACCTTTGGATAGCATCTTTAATAGTCTTTTTAATGATGTATTACAAGTAGGGGTTTGCAATTTAAACTTTTTGGTTGTGGTGGATGGGGTCTAGGTTAATGGGGGTGAGTTCTTTTTCATTTCATTTTAGTTCCCCCTACTATCCTAGAAACGGTTTCAAGCATTTTTTGAGGTCAGCTTTTGTTCGTGAGATATAACCCATTGTAAGTTTAAAAATTGACACACTTTATAGATTCTTCTATGGCTCATGCAATTACAATGATCCCTTAGTTATTTTTTTAAGAGCTATTATAAACAAAGCCTTTTTTAACTGTAGAGAATGAAAAAGTATTCGCCGTAGTCATCAGAACTGGCTATTTGACGACTAAAGGAGAACTTGTACGAAGTATATTATATCCACCACCAGCTGATTTTAAATTCGAAACAGACAGTTACAAATTCATAGGAATTTTATTTTTAATTGCAACATTAGGTGTAATCTACACAATTGTATCAAAGGTAAGTAACATTTATATCATACTGTTATTATAGTCCCTACCATGAGCAACATAATTTATATGGATCCCACACGCTACTCAAGATGATCTTTAAGAACATAATGTATGAAACAGTGATTCTCACACTTCCTTCATTTAATATTTTAATGTGTTTATTTATTGTTTTTAATGAGTGACACATATGGTGGCATTTGACACCATCACTATTCACAACGGACTTACAATCCAGCTACCTATCTTGTGGCACTATAATTATACGAACCACATTACTCCATGTGCCTCCTCCTCATTCTTTGAGTTCTTGTCAGGTTGTCAGGGCATGGTGACACTCTAAATATAATAGACTTGCTGGCTCCATTGGCTGCGAACCTGTGATATATGGACGGCTTCATGTAGGGATTCTTTCACCAGAGTCTTCATTTGTTCTGACCATCGTGTTGTAGATCTTCCTCTTGGTCTTTGGCCTTCTACCTTTCCTTCTACTACCAGTAGGTCCATGGTGCCTGCTCTTCTAGCTATGTTACCGAAGTAAATTAGATGTGCTCGGTTTACTTTTTTTCATAGCCTGTCTTTTCTATGAAGCCATGATGCCATATGCACTTTACTGTAAAACTCATAATACAGTTTTTATGTTTCTTACAAAAATTCCGTCTTATTTTCTGGTATGTTTAGGTCGTCTTAGGTTTTTAGCCTGAGTCTGAATATCAATAGTTCTTTATCCTGGAAAGTGATTCTGTAATAAGAGCTCTAACATTTTCTTTTTAAATTAGGTACAGGTGCCATGAGGTCTTTTAAATCGGCCTTGTCCCTGGGTCAAATATTTGGAAAAAATCCTGTTGATTATAGGGCTGATAGTGGTAGTTAAATCAGAAATACTCTTCGACAGAACCTTTTTCAGGATTCCCGTTTCGCTCTTCTTATCTATTTGTTATATGCTGTAACAGTTTTTCTGTAAATTTACGAATTCTTTGGCTTTATTCTATAGCCTCCTTACTTCTTTTATTAGTTTTTTCAGCTTTTTGCTCCACTAAGGTGTTTGTATGTAATTCATCTTAGATTTGATTATAGAGATCCTGGTACGATGTGAGAATTGCTTTCCTGATTCCATCATTCGTTTCTTCAATATCCAAACATATTTTGATATTTCTAATTGTACTTTCTATTTTTGCTTCCAAGTCGGTTTAATATTCTTCTCAATTTGTGGATTAAGAATACCTGTAGCTAATAATATTATATATGATTTACCTATATATAAGCTAAAGTCAATGTGTGATGGATCCGAACTCGACGACTGTATCGACACATGCCAGTTAACAATTTTGTTAGTAATTTGTTCCGTACTTACTTATTATTATATTGACGTCCTGACTTTTCTTATTGATAAAGGTAGGTTCATTACATTTGTTATTCAATATGAGCCCTTCTTTTAAAATGTATTTAAAAAAATACTTACCTCGTTCCTTGGGTTTTTGCTTCCCCATACCATCTGATTACCATGTTAACGTTTCAGCTGATGATCACCTCTTATCCATTCTTCCTACAATGTTTGATTACTTTTCTAATCTAATCTTCTATCAAGGATATATAAAGCAACCCCTTGGCATGCTGAAGATTCACCAGTATAAATTTAACCATTATTTTCTCTTGGTGAGTCTTTCTCTCCAGACTCTTTGGTAACCAGCTATATTGGCTTCACTTTTGCCCTTATTTTTAGGAGGTAATTTCGCCTTTAGAGAGGTTTACAGTCGCCTTTCCTTTCGCTCTCGCGGTTGCCAGCTGAGGAAGAGAATGGTCCCTCTGTATTTTTGGCAGTTCAGCTTAAGTTTTTCGAAGAGTTTGACCTTTCCATTCTTGCTTCTATTTTTTTTCAATTGTTCATAGGAAGAAGATGACTCCCTCTTTCTCTTGCCAAGCTTTGGTCTGATGGTGATATGACCAAAGCCGAAGAAGGGACTGAAGTTTAATTTCTTTAAAACCATAGATGTATCGACTATTGAGAAGGTCTTTCTCTGGAATTGGAGTATTTTCCAGTCTTGCGTTCTCAGGCACCGATTCATCTTCCTCAGTCCCTTAAATATTTTTCAGCAAACATTAGGGTACCTTTTTCTTTATCAAGTATGTATGCAATGTGTATCCGAGTTATCTGATATGCTTAAAAAAATAATCAAAGATTTATTTGTTGATTTAAAACTTTTATTGTTCATGTTGTGGATTTAGACTAAAACGTTACACATACTATATAACTTTCTAAAGATCCTACAGGTCTTTTTTGAAATCATGTAGTTGTCTAGTTGTATGACTAAATCCAAAATCAAACGTGGAGATATAAAATCACACAGAAAAACGTTTCCATTGTTTCTCTTACTTGCATTTTACATGAACTTCCTCGTTAAATGGAAGTTATTCTAATCTTTAGATGAAATACTAGTCACATATTACATTAATCAACTATTGAACATATAGTACATATAATTAAAGTATGAAATATGCATACTTTTTGTTATATTAACGGAAATAAAATTGTGTTTCTCCAAAACTCTTCCTTTAAGGCGTAACAGAAACAACGTTATGTATCGTTTGCTCTACTCATCTTTTTTATGATATTATTTAATACCAAAATATATGGTTTTTAATTAAATAATATACAATGAATTATTTTATAGAGTACACGACAAATAAAACCACTGGAAATTCTTATAAAAGCCTTGGATATATTCACCATAGCTGTCCCACCGGCACTGCCAGCTGCTATGACTGTTGGAAAATTGTATGCATTGAATCGATTAAAAAATAAACAAATATTCTGTATAAATTCGAGGGTTATAAATGTGTCAGGATCTGTTGATTGTATATGTTTTGACAAGGTAGGTGGTATATCATTAAATAAACTTTATATTTTTATCTTTTGGATATTTGGAATAATTTGTGATTTGGATATATCACATATTTTCTAAGAAATAAAAAGGGATATAGATATAAGTTAAGCCATAGTGAAGCTTTCTTGTAGATATTTTAAAATAATTTCTAAACTGGAATGTACAATAAAAATTAAAAACAATTAAGGCAACAAGTACGCTTATTGGCCACTTAGGAATTGCGAATTGAATTAAAATTGTGAACTAGAATTTTTTAAATTAAAATATTTTGTATGGGTTTGATAATAGCAATAAAACACCAAATTTTATAAAAATTCAGGTTATTAAAAGCAAAAAATATAATGTACCTATACTAAAAATAAACACAAATTTATAAAATTATAAAACTACACAGTTACTGACCATACAACCATAGTTCTTGGCATAGAAAATTAATCATGGGCCATTCATAAAATTCCTAATTTTTAAAATTTTTATTTTTGTTTTTGCATATAAGACACAAAGAAATTATCTAAGTTTTCGTTTTCTTGTTGTTTCTTTGCAGAAGTGCCAATATATGCGTCTAACACGAAATTGGCATCTTATTCCAATTTTTGATTTAGTTATATTGTACGAACAAGAATAACATAATCATGTATAAAAAAGATTTTTTACGGATAAATTGGTGTCTTCTGATTGTTTCACCGTTATATCTGAGAGAACCTCAGTTTCGAAACACAACTTTCTTTAGCCGACTTACCAGCATATTTTTGTATGCTGGTTTCCAAATTTGTATATTTGCTTTGAAATTATGTTCTTCAAATTTGAAGAATTTATATTGTTGCAAACATCAAAAAATATGTTATTAATTGTGGGCAGAAGCTTCCCTTTTACTTACTAGCAGCAAATTCTATTAGTAGGCTTCCATTTTCATTAGAATCGTGGAGGCTATGCTTACCTATTGTGCGTATGTATTTGGTTTCCTTTTTAATCAGTATTTGTGTTCCCAATTATTATTTTTATGTTATTTTTTAATGACTGATTTTCTGCGGTTTATAGACGTTGATAAAATATTAGTTTTCCTTCTAGGTTTGTATCTTCGGTAGGAGGGTGAATGTTAATAACTATTATATTAAAGAGCTTTTACTTCCTAGTTTACACATTCTTTTACTTAACGGCTGAAGGTCTAATCTAATATGTAGACTGTCTATTATAGATATTTTATTTTCTTGCCTAGGTACTATAAACGCCACTTCCAGCTCTTTACTACCAATTAGTTTACCACTTTGTAGGATTGTGTTTGTTCTTGTGTCACTGATCTCATTGTCTAGCAATTTTGTTTCTTGAATTGCCGTAATTCTGATTTTGTGTCTGGACAATACATTCAGTAGTTTTCTCTGTGCACCAGGTTTACTTAAAGTTCTGAGATTACACGATCCAATCTCGAATTCTAAATTTCATTACTTAAGTCAATTTGTTCTATAATACTCAAATGGCTTATCTGTGGTTTCTGTAACTATAGTCTTTTTCTAAGAATGAGTAGTTGGCTTGTCGCTAATCCCCCTTTTTGGATGACATTTTCTCTTCCTATCCTTAGTCCTGACCCTGTTTGTACTAGGATTGTTTACCGTGGTCTTCCATAGGGTAACTCAGGTTACCAGGGGTCTCCGCATGGAGGTGAGACTGGGAATTAAGTAGGAGAAACTTGGTGATGCTAACAGGAAACAGCATCATGTATTGTGCATCACTAATCCTTTGAAACCCTCCTTTTTCAATCATTTGACTTAATTGTAAGTCCTAGAGAGGATATTTTGCACTATTATTTGGCCAATATATTGTCAAAACGTTGGCATTATTGACGAATATACATATATAATGTACATTAAATTGCAATTGAATTATATAATGCAGAGTTTCTTCTGTTTAAAATTGGGAGATATATTTGTTGAAATATCTAGATTTATTTAACCTAAAAAATGTATTTAATTGTAATTAAAAAGATAATAGAAAAACTAAATAAAAACTGCAAACAAGGGGTATATTGTGAATCGAAAATTAAGTACCGATTAAAATACTGAATTAGAAATGACTTAATATGTATTCTTTACCATATAATATGCAAAAATATATTTTTAGACTGGCACATTAACAGAAGACGAACTGGACATGTGGGGAATAGTACCTGTAGACAGTAATGGAGTTAAATCTTCCTTAAAAGATGTTAAAGCACTACCCCCCACATCTGATCTTTTCAGAGGAATGGCTACCTGCCACTCACTATCAATAATCAATGGCCAATTAGGAGGAGATCCTCTGGATATAAAGGTAATTCATCAAAAGAATAATTTATCATATAAATAATATTTTCAATTAAAATTGTAGTTTATTACCGTTAAATATATTGTAGATAACATAGAACTGTCATAATAAAATCAATAAATTAATCAAAACTGTCTTAAATTTTATATGATTTTTTATTGTAGATGTTTGAATCAACGGATTGGATACTGTATGATTCCATAGATAGAACAAAACATCACCATATTACCGTAAGACCAAATTTAGATGTTGATGTAAGTAATATTACTTATAATATTCTAATATTATTTGAATACTATTATTATTATCAGAGGACTCTGTTCTGTTGTAATAGAAATAGACGGACTACTTTTGATTAAAATTTTTTCCACCATAGTGGTCTCTAGCTACTGTAAATTTGTACCCAATTGTGCTTTATATATTAAAGGTTTTTAATGAAAAACAGATCTTAGAACCTTAAACTTTTATTGTAAATCCCAGTCAATTTTGACCAATTATAACACCGAAACTAAAAAAAAAACCGATCATTTTATTTTTTATTTCTTTTCAGTGTCTTTTCATGCAGTTTTAATACCGTTTTATAAAATTAAATTAAAACATAAAATATTATAAATTTAAAAATTTAACAATTTTTTAAAAAAATTCTGTTTGAAATCTTGAATGCTCATCTATATGTACAAAAAATATCAACTTTCTAAGAGTTTTAGTTTTTGGCCTGCACGATTTTGAAAATAATAATTAATTAGAATTAGAATACCTAATTAAAAATTAGATTGCAAAATTATTCTGCAACACCATTAAATTGATTTTAATAAAATTTTGTGCGATGATTAAACATAAAAAGTCTTCTTTCTCGGAATATAAGGGTCCCAAGTTTGATTTTAGTTCGTAAAATAAACTCACAAAAAGATCATTTTTTTAACTGTTTTTTTGGAATTTTTTAAATAATAATAATAATAACCCTTAGGATTTAAAGCTAGCATTATCATTTAATTGTGAGACCTTTATATGCCATAAAAAATTATTCTAAATCTAATAGCTCTTGAAATATTGAAAACTTAAAACCTTGTCTATTTAGAGATTTGACGTCAACAGACTTTATCAGAAAAAAAGATACGCAAAATCAAATACGGTAATTAAAATCGGTTAATAAACAAAGCTATCGCAAAATTAAAAACAAAATCACTATTTTTGAATTTTGGTAATAACTTTTTTATTATTTATTAAAAGTTGTTAAAATTTAGGTACCTGAACTTGGCGGTCTTATCGTGTTTGAATTGTGTCGGTTGAATAGTTTTTGCGAAATTTAATTCGTTTACAAGATTTTTTGAAAAATTAGCTAATAGTCCAGGCTGTGAGGCCGCTCCCGTTGGGAAAATGTTTCTGATTCGGTTTCTTCGCGGATTCCGGTTCAAAAATGTCCCCTTTAAACAAATCTGAAGGGTGCCGGGCGAAATTTTTGGGCAGAAATTGTTTAAACAATTTTTTTAAACAAATTCCAAAAATAATTTTTATTTAATCTGGAAAACATTTTTTAGGTTTTTTTGGGTCATTTTAAACAAAAAAGGTCTCTTGTCATTTTTCTCTAAAGTTGATAGTTTTCGAGTTATAAGCGATTTAAAGTCTGAAAAAAGCGAAAATACGCATTTTTGAGACTTGAAAACACATAATGTAAATTATTATTTTTGAGGTTACCAAGTGTCTAAATTGAAGTTTAAACATTCAACTTCAAGATTGTGAAGAGTAGTCGGGGCTTATTTTAATTTAGACCGTTGTTTTTTAATGTTAAGTATGCGCGTACACTCGATTTTTCAGCCGCCGCGGCGCGGCGCGCTATCGTGCGCCTCTATCGTACTTATGCATAGTTTACATATACTTACACATACTTACAAATAATTATTATTTATTGAGTATATATTTTTTTTATATCAATTGAGTTATATAAATTTCGTAAAATATAAACTACATTTTATTTAAAGTCTAATAGTAGTTACATAAAATAATTGTACAAAAGATTGTTAAATAACACACTAATATCACTCAGTAAAAGTATCTTTGTTTTCACAAAAATCTAAATCACATCCACATAATAGTACACAGTTGACATGATTTTTCTTGCAGTTGCAAGCATTAGTTTTGCAAGTCTTTTTGCATTTGCGCGGTTTCACCAGTGTTTCTGGTAATGGGTTTTGAGTTATGAATCTTGGTAATAACCCACCACTATCAGACATATAATATCCATATTGTGTAAAATCGAGAGTTTGATAGCGAGAATATATGGCATTTCGCCAAATATATGTTTGAGCGAAAGCTCTTAACAAGTGTTGGTAAAGTGCGTCAGAGATACAAGGCATAATGGCTAGATTAATTCCTAGGCCACATGATCTGTTAAAAATGACAAGAGACCTTTTTTGTTTAGAATGACACAAAAAACCTAAAAAAATGTTTTCCAGATTAAACAAAAATATTTTTGGAATTTGTTTAAAAAAATTGTTTAAACAATTTCTGCCCAAAAATTTCGCCCGGACCCTTCAGATTTGTTTAAAGGGGACATTTTTGAACCGGAATCCGCGAAGAAACCGAATCAGAAACATTTTCCCAACGGGAGCGGCCTCACAGCCTGGACTATATAAGGTCCAGATTTTGTTTTCCATGTATTCTCTGTTGGCGCAGGCATTACTACATTATTTAAGCTACTACATTATTTAAGCTACTACAAATTGCTGATAGCACTTATTAGAGATAATCACACTTACATAATTGTGGGATATTCTAAATGCAAATATTAAAGATATAGGATATAAAGTATATTATAGGAAAGATTCTCCTGTTGCCAAGAATGTGAATTGAAATACGTACATCAATTAATATTTTAATTATAATATTTAATTTGTAGATATCAATAATAATTATGTTTAACATAAACAATGCTATTGTTTGTATAATTACACAGAAGAAACATTTTCTACCAACTAGGTAACCATAATGTAAACAGTAAGTTTTTCTTCTAGTGTTATAACTCTTTTTACCATTTTTTAAGGAGATTTGGTTATATTTTTTTAATAGCACATAATACAAAATCAAACTGATTTTTTGTCAAACGAAAGAAACTATGAAATTTGATTTCATCATCAACCAGATATTTACTTATTAAATTGGATTGGTATCCTTTTTCAACCCTCCTCACATGCATTTTATAAGTTTTACTCTTTTTTGAGTTACTTAGCATCATTTTTAAAATGTTCTCTTGCTCTTTTAATATATGAAGATAAACTTGTCTCTGGAGATGCTCCATTATTATAAAAATTCCCGCTATTTAATTCAATATCAGCTGATCTATCGCATGCGTCTAAATGCTCAAGAGAGACTACCCCAACCAGTGCGTTAATCGCTTGCGACTGCTGCTTGCGTCGAACGCATGCCACAATCGCATAAGAGAGACTGCACCTTCAGACTTGCAATATCGGCATGGTTGAAAATCTATATTGAGTGGAACGAAATTTCACCACTTATCTACCTACATTTTATCGACACATGTAATTAGTTCGCAACTTTCTTTATTGTAGCCATCACAACTTTATAATCAAAAAATACTCCAGCTCTTCTCAGTTTTCTAATGTTCCTGAAATTTCATCGATTATCTTTTCTTTTCCCATTTTTATTGATACACGCAAATTAGCTCACAAGCTTATTTTTAGTGTAACCATCACAAAGTTGTGATGGGGGCCTACATTAGCACCTTCTGTTGTTCTAATATTCTTTACAATATTATATTTTAAACAACTTTCCATTTTGTTTTATAAATAGCCACAATCACAATAGACCTCTTAGGTCGCGTGGAAGGGCGGTTAACCACCCACTCATATTGAACCTTCCTTATAAATTAGCATTAATAAATAAACCTTACTTTTTTACAGAATGTTCCAGAGATAAATATAGTTAAACAATTCCAATTTTCTTCACATCTTCAACGCATGAGTGTAATAGTTCACTCGTCAGATACAGACCGTTTTACAGCTTTCTGTAAAGGTTCTCCAGAAATGATTATGGCCTTATCCAAACCTTCTTCGATTCCAAGCAATTTGATTTCTAAAGTACATGAATACACTGTGCAAGGATATAGAGTCATTGCTTTGAGCAAAAAATTTTTAGACAACACTAGAGAGGAAGCGGTGATTAAGATGTTAAGAGAAGACGTTGAATGTGATCTAGAGTTCTGTGGTCTGATTATTTTGGAAAATAAGTTAAAACCTCAGACTTCTGGGATCATTAATATGTTAAATGAAGCCAATTTAAAAGTTGTTATGATTACTGGTAAGTAATGATGGTGTAATTCGCATAATTCCTTATGAGTATGATTCCTTATAGTGAGTTTAATATAATATAATCTACTAAACAATTAACTCCAAAGCTGTTTGAAGCCTGTGCAAGCTTCGAATAATATATTTCCTTAAACTGTCATATATATAATCGTTAGTAGTGTGTGTTCTTGTCAAATACCACAGTGCATAATGTTAGGTCTTTTAACCCTTTGAGGACTAGTAGTTACTGCTGCTAACCACAGATTAAATAATTTTTCTTTACATGCCTGCTGGTTTCTCAACAAATCTGTTCTGTATACATAATTGGTTACCTACACTTCATCTAATTTACATACCGATGCACGTCATCGGCGTCATAGCCCGTGACGTCACATGATACCAACACGAAATATTTAGGCGATAGGTGTGTTCTTTTTTAGAATCACTTTGCGGAGTACACTGGCATTACAGGCACTAGACCTATTTTAGTGTATACGCGTAGAAATAATATTTAAAAATTTCTATTAATGTTAACTTAAAGAAATACAGAATAATATGTTTCATTTAATTTGTATAAATGCATTATAAATAGTTTTTATGAAGAACATTTGTTCGGAACACACTGTAACTGTAATCAAACGAAGGTGAAATTTTGACATAAATTCGTAACACTTATTTGACAGTTGCGGTGTTGACACTTTTTGTACTTTATTATTTTGAATTTTAAAGTGAATACCTCTTGTGTTATATTTTTACCTATTTAATAAAATCCGTTCTTTTTAGAAGTGTGTTTTATTTCAAAAATGTCAGGAGTCAGGATTTTTTTATACTTTGGCAATGTTTTATGTGAATTCTAAATATTTTGAAATGTTGTTAAATAAAGATGTTTCTAATAAGTTATTGTTTTGTTTGTATCTTTTTCTACTCTCCTACTAGTAAATTGTATATTACCTACTATTTGGATGCTAAGTAAATGCATCATAACAGATACTGACACGTAATGACTAGCACGTAATAAAAAAAATTACGCTTCAGTTTTATAAAAAATGTGTAATATCGCATAAGCCTCGTAAGTCAGTTGGTCGAGTTACCATGGAAACGAATTAACAGACGTTATTTTGACAGATTAAAAATTATTAATCTGTCAGTGTTAATATAGTGGTAATTTACTTTTATTTTTATAAACGAAAATAATGGTAGAAAAAGTATAGTACACAACAATAATTTTTAATCTGTCAAAATAACGTCTGTTTAATCGTTTCCATGGTAACTCGACCAACTGACTTACGAGGCTGTGATATTACACATTTTTATAAAACTGAAGCGTAATTTTTTTTATTACGTGCTAGTCATTACGTGTCAGTATCTGTTATGATGCATCTACTTAGCATCCAAATAGTAGGTAATATACAATTTACTAGTAAGAGAGTACAAAAAAGTTATTATCGTCATATTTACATTAATTGTACATTGACAGTGACATATTCGATGTCTTGCTTTGTGTATTTATTTATTTCGAGTGTTTTTTTAAAGTATCTCAAAAATGTCAGGTCGGAAGTATGTTGTTTAGAAAATGTAATATTAATATAAAAAGAATAAAAAGTGTCTCTAATGTGACTTTTACGGGTACGTTTTATTGCCGGTTTTGGTTGGTAACCACTAGTCACTTAGAATTATTATTTTTTGGAATCAAAGACACACTGGTCTGTAAAAGACTTAGAAAATATAAGTCCACTCCACTTTAAGGCATTGTTGGATGAAATACTAAGTGATGCTGAATCAGTAACTTCAGATTTGGAGAATGTGATGAACGATGAGATGGAATTTTTAGAAAACAGTAATCCGGACACAGAAAATATATTGTTCCTCAGCAAAACAAAGATGGGGAAAGTGATGATGACTTGCCCCTGACTCAAAGTCAAAGTAGGCTCCAAAAAGAGATCATAAAATGGACACTTGACGTTTCACACGTGAATCAAATCAAGGAGTTCCGGGAAGAAAGTGGACCAAATGTACCCGAGACCAATGAAAGTCCTACAGATATTTTCCTACACTTATTTCCTTAGGAGCTCATTAAACACATTGTTTTCCAAACTAATTTGTATGTTATACAAAAAATAGTGGTATTATTAATTTTGTTTTAACAACCTGTGAGAAAATAAAAATGTTCTTGGGGGTCAATTTCTTCATGAGTCTGAAAAAAATGCCAAGTTTCAGAGACTATTGGCCGTCCAAAGAAGAAATAGGAGTTTCCCTTATCAGCAGTGCTATTTCCAGAGACCGATTTTCCTGGCTTCTTAGTAACATTCATCTCAATGATAATTGCGTTGAACCAAAGAAAAATTAGCAAAACTAGGATAAACTACAAAATTCGACCACCCTTGGATAAGCTTGCAGAAACATTCATTTCTTCAATGAAACCAAGTGAATTCAATACGTGGATGAGTCTATGATTTGGGTAAGGCAGACTCTACTGGTTACATGAACGAATTTTAAATATACATCGTAAAAATAGACAATAATACAGAAAAAAATTAGGTAAGCGAGTTATAAAAGATCTGACAAAAAAGTTAATTGGCAAAAATCATAAAGTTTTCTTTGACAATTATTTTAATTCCATTGAATTACAAAAGTCTTTGTTATATAATGACATTTATGTCTCCGGGACGATCCGCAAGGACAGACAAAATTTTCCTGATCTCCAAACTGATAAAATATGCAAAGAGGTGACTCTGACTGGAGAGTATCAAATGAAGGACTTGCAGCTTTGAAATTGATGAGCCGTCGAAGTGTTCTTTTTTGTCAAATTTTGAAAACCCTTCAATCAAAGAAGTTGCTTTTCGTAAAAGAAAAGATGGGTCTATAGAAGAAGTGAGCTGTCCAAGAATGGTGAATAATTACAATGACCATAATGGTTATTTCGATAAGTTTGATAATGCTGAAAGGCCTTTACAAAATTGACCATAAGTCACACAAGTGACTTACGAAGTGGCATCGAATATTCTTTTATTTTGTGGATGCCTGCCTTACTAATGCCCATATTTTGTATGTAAAAAGAAGCAGATCATCAAAATCCATCTGCCTAAAGGAATTTAGGATGTGTGTCGCTAGAGGCTTCATTGGTGCAGCTTCACCAAGTAAACTCATTTCGAAAAGAAATAAATAAGTTTAAAAGGATGGTTTCTCAAGACATACGCATCTGCCACAACGCTGCAGCTCCCTACGTTGCGCTTTTTGTAGCAACAAAAACGTCGTTCATCGCACCATTTGGAAATGTGCAACGTGTAACGTTGGGTTATGCCTAAACAAAGAAACTGCTTTTTTTATTTCATATAAAATAGGCTTAGATTAAGACAATTTTATTTTATTAAATCCACTTTTTTTTTCTTTTTGGATTTAGTGCCTAGTGGTAACCAGTGGTAACCATATCCTGTAGGGATATCCGTTATCCTGAAAATATTAAAATGTGTTTTTGTAAGTTCAAAGAACGCTAATAAATACAAAAAAATCATTAAACCTTGGTTTTTCTTAAAAAAAAATCCTGCCTCAAGGGTTAAAAGTCAGTTCTACTATATGTGGTGATGAAGCTATTACTTGTGGTGCTTTACTTTTGTAATTAGGATATACTGAGAACTTACCTCAATTATAAATACTTTTAATATTGACATTTGGACTTTCAGCTCAAAAATCGCTTACGAAAGGCAAGTTAATGAAAACTAAAAAAACTCAATCTACGGATCTTGAATTAAATTGTCTCTTAACTAGTCAATATTTGTCTACTGGTGGGTTATATAATGAAAATGTTCTTTCACAAATTTCATTGCGAATTTTTGAGATAATGAATGGTTTTCCAAAGAATTATGGACATTGTTCTTACACGAATGTTACTATAATACAAATTTAATAGTCGCTAAATCGAAAAGAGTTAAAATCCTCCTTTGTCTAAGCTGTAAAGGCTCCTTTGTTTGGCTAAAATTTTATCTAATACCGTATTTTTATTCTAATTTTTCTTTAAAATTATATATTATAATTCTAAATTTAGATTGATTTATTGTAGATCTATTTATCAAATTTAATTCTGCAAATACTTTTTTAGTTTATATTGCATTTTACTATATAATTGTATTTTAGGAGATAATTTACAAACTGGAGTTCATATAGCAAAAGAATGTGGAATGGTTAAACCATATCAAAATATTATAGAAGTTTGTGCTGAAGAACCTACAGAATGTAGTATAGCATCTATTAGCTATAAGATTATTAGTCAAGCTGTTATAATGGTAAGTAAAAGTCGTACTAGAAGTTAAAAACTGCTATCGTCAGAGGCAATGGCGCTGCAAGATTAGAGACGTGTGTCAATAATATCAAAACTGGAATGCAAATGAAGGGGCTACAATTTTATTCTCTGACAAATATAGATTTGGATTTCATCCAGATTCTCGTCGAGTAAGACTGTGGAGACAATCTGGAAATGTAGAACGCTTAAGACATGTCCAGGAAGTTTACACGTAAAGAGGTGATACAGTAATGATATGAGGTGGCAGAACAGACTTTGTTTTTCCAGACCAGTACTTAAACGCCATTCTTCAACCTAGCGTTCGTTCGTTTGCTGTGGATCAAAACTTCCACCTCATGCATGTTACTGTTCGCACTGTGTCACTAGGCGTGCGACCAAATGTCGCACGCCTAGTGACAGACTGGCTTGCCAACGAAAGTATGGATATGTTGCCTTGACCAGCATGATCCCCGACCTGAATTCCATCGAGCATGTATAGTACATGCTTCAACGAAGAATTACTCCACATGTAGGTAATATATATTATACTCCGTTTCGTTTCCGAGAACGTCTGATAGAATAATGGGCAAACGTACCTTAACAGGATATCGACAACCTCATTTTGTCTATGAACAACAGATGTAGAGCCTTAATAACCCAAGATGGACATCATATTTTGTATAAATTTTGTTTCTATTTATTATGACCATATTTTTAACTAATGGTCTAATTTTTTTTAACTTTACTTAAAGGCACTCTCGATATTTTTGACATTTGAAGCATTAAACAAAAAAATACGTCTCTTTCTAAAAATATCCCAGTCTTTTTCGATGTGCATATATACCTATCGGGTTCTGAATCATCAAATGAACCACAGCAAACTCTATGGGAAATTCTTCCACTTCTTCTAATGGCTCTACAACCCTTTGTGAGTCTTGGCTTGCTTAACAATGTTCTTCCATTCTGCCCTGTCGGATACTTTCCTTCGCCAGTGCCTCATGTTCATGGTTTTAAGATCCCTCTCTACGTCGTCTATCCATCTCTTTTACGAGACCTTTCTCTTGTTCCTTGGGGCTTCCATCTCTGGACTACTTTTACAGCTCGATTATCTGGCATTCTTTCTAGGTGACCAAGCCAGTTTAGTCTTTGTAAATTTGTATGTCTTGACTCATGTTGTTGTTGTCATTTATTATTGAGCCTAGGTAGGGAAATGCGGAGGCATATTTGTAGGTATGGTTATCATATCTGAAAGTATGACTTTCAGATTCTCATGTTGATTCGTTCTGTACACTCCATATATTTTGTTTTGCTTTCATTTATATATAGACCAAACGTAGCAGCTTCTCGTCTCAGTTCTATAGCTTTTTCGCTTTATACCCTTTTGTTGCGGCTTATTATGGCAACACCATCCGCATATGTGCATATTTACATTGATCTAGTATTAATATAGCTGTTTATATCCAGTTTTCTACAACAGCTTCTAAAGTTAAATTAAAAAGTGTTGTTGATAAGGCATCACCTTGTCTAACTCCATTTTCAATATCAAAGGCCTGCGTCATATCTTCGTCTATTCTCACCATAGTTTTGGAACCATCCAGAGTCATTCATATAAGTTTAACCAAATTATTGGGTATCCCTAACATAGATAGTTGCTTTAACATCTTTTGTCGATCTACTCCATCAAACGGCTATTTGAAATCGATATACAAGTTGTAAATAGGTATGTTATATTCAACACATTTTTCATGTATACTTCTTAACATATGTATTTGGTCCATAGTTAACCTCTTTGGTCTAAAGCCACATTGGTATTCACCAACCATCTCCTCCGAAAACGATTCCAGGCGGCTGTATATAATTCCTGATGATATCTTGTAGACATTTAAAACTGTTATGCTCCTTTTTAATGTTTGCTGGGAGTCGTTTGTCTTCCACTTTGTATATAGGAAGTATGATTCCTACTTTAAAATCTTCTGGATACGCCTCCATAGCGCATGTTCACCATACTTTATCAGTTCTGCAGTTATTTCATCTGTGCCAGGTGCTTTGTTATTTTTCAGATGTTTTATGACATTTATCGTTTCTTCCAATGTTGGTTGCTCAATAGTTGTTCTGCTATGTGGTGAATTATTTCTTCGTCTTCATTTTGTTTTTTTCTGGGTTTAACAGCTTTTGAAAATGCTCCTTTCGCCTTTTCATTATTTCCTCTTTCTCGCTGATAATTGCCCCATTTTTGTCCTTGCAAGCTGTTGATTTTGTCATGTATCCTTAGGTGTACTGCTTGGTTTCCTTGCAATACACCCAAGCTCTGCTTTCTCCCTTCCTCGTCCGCCCTGACGCTACCTTCCATTGGGGTTGGTTACCCAATCTCCAATAGGGTTGCTCAGGTTTACCGGGGTTCACCCGTGTGATCAAGATCACACTTCTTGGAGGTGAGGATAGGAATTGAGTAGGAGAGGCTAGAGGTGTTATCTGGAAGCAACACCTTGAATTGCGCCTCACTACTCCTTTGAACCCCTATGGGAACTTCTAAACTATTGAATTCCTGCTTCCCCAATTATTTTTAAGAAACTATGTATTTGTAGAGCACCAAAATCTATATTGAAAACTAATTGTTCTACAAATTAAACACATTTCAAAATTTTCCAAAAATATAATTTATTTACCAGAGTTGTAATGTTGCTTTGCAGAATGTGTAAAACAAGTTAGGTTCGGTTACAATTAAACGAGATATTAACAATATTCGAATTGTCAACAGTTTAATATTATCATTTATTGTTTAAAGAGCAATAAAGTTTATGAAATTCAAACATTTTTTAGGTTAAACATGATAATCACTTTGATATTGAAAAAAATCTAAGAAAAGATTTTGTTTTCGCTGTGACAGGAAAATCATGGGCAAATATTGTAAAATACTTTCCACAATTGGTTCCCAAAATAGTCACGAAAGGAATCATATTTGCAAGAATGTCCGGCATGCAGAAACAGAATCTCGTTGAGGAATTTAAAAATTTAGGATATTATGTTGGTAAGAAAAATTAAAGTTTGTTATATGGACTTTGTTTTCGATCAGTATTCATCATGTCAATCATCACATGCAGTGGCGTTGCAATATTAAACAATTTGAGAATTATTACTTACTTGAATAATAAATAGAGTATGATTTTTCACAGATTGTTTTATCCATATCAGTTAAATCAGCAACATAGTAAAAATGTTTACCGACAGTGTTAAATATGAATATTTGTGACTGTTTTTTTTTTCAAAATTTTCTACGGCACATGGACTTTTAACAGAAATTTATAATACCATATTTAATTGATATTACCTTAAAACCTCACTATGTGTTACATTAAAATCGTAATTATAAAGACATGGATTTTTAATTTAGTATCGATTATCTTAAAACGGTAATTATAAAGTCATTATTAATGACTCCTTAACAACTCGTTAAGAACATACAAAAAGAACTGATAATAATTATTTCCGAAAATTTCTAGTCACTGAATTTAAAACTAGTTCGTAATTTAGTCTCATTATGTTGTCGAGTCCCAAAAAGAAAGGTGCTAACACGCGTATTAGAACTATTTTGTACAATGGAGATTGTTAAGTATAGCACGAGTCAACAGATCAGATTGAAACCAGAATCCAAAGGATCCCTGAAGATAATCGAACCAATATTAAACAAGTGTGAGCGAGGCTACTGGAGTATCTTTACGTACAGTAGAAAGGATCATTCAACAAGCGAATATGTTAACAAACGCAGAGAAATAATTCACTAAAATTTCTAGCTACAATACTAGCTAAAAGGAGAGCAACCGTGAACGACAAAGAGTTCATTAGAAATATCATTCACCGATTTCATGAGACCACAAAGTTGTCGTGTATTATTGAAACTTTTGCAAAAAAGACTTAAAGAGGAGTATGAGTGGACTGAAAGTGTGAGTTCTCTAGACTGAATTGTTAAATACTAAATAAGTTCGTAACTCTACCAAAGAACACAACTCATGCCACTGTGTAATTTTCATTAATAATGCTTTATTTTTCAGACATCCTTAAAAATATTATAAAAATCCTAAACAACGGCTTCAACCACCAAAAAAATTATAAAATACTAACAAAAAAAACAAATCTCCAAAACTCCGGCATAATGGGCCCACAACCTCGAGCGCCGAGTCGCCGAACTGGGCGTAGCCTATTGCGGAGAATCAAGGCCCGAGTAGCAATTTCAATTCGAGGAAACGTCAATAGAGAAAGTAGGAAAAAAGTGCCTCACGCTAGTCTACATTGATCAGAGGGGATGGTCTGGAGCATTTTAGAGCGATGGAGTGGTTCCTGGTTTCACGAATTAATCCACCTCGCTTCAAAAATTGTAACACCCTAATGTCATTCTAAGGGGTGTGAAAGTCTATCAAGCTGGGTTTAATTATTTTATAAACGATATATATTCAAAATGTACTTTATATATTCGTTATTTAAAACCATTGTATTTTACAGCTATGTGCGGGGATGGAGCTAATGACTGTGGTGCTCTCAAAGCTGCACACGTTGGTATATCTCTATCAGAAGCCGAATCTAGTGTCGCATCTCCCTTCACTTCCAAAATACAAGACATATCCTGCGTGCCTGAGGTCATTAAAGAAGGAAGAGCAGCTCTAATAACATCCTTTGGAATTTTCAAAATTATGTTATGTTACAGCCTCATAGAATTCAGCACTGTAATGATTTTATACAACATAGATGGCAACATGACGTCTTTTGAATTTCTCTTTATAGACATTTGCCTTATATTAAATTTTGCCTCATTTTTCGGAATGACCAAAGCACATCAAACCTTGGACAAAATTCCTCCAGCAAATTCATTAATGGGATTTATACCAATATTATCCATGAGCTTTTACTTAATACTAAGTGTATTTTTTCAACTGGTCGGTTATTACTGGATTCAAACATATGACTGGTTTCTACCTTTTATTTACAATCCCAAAGATGACACATTTTTAATATCATACGAAAACTTTGCTGTTTATCACGTTTCAGTATTTCAATACATAACAATGTGTATAGTTTTCTCAAAAGGAAAACCCTACAGGAAACCTTTATATACAAACATACCCTTCACTTTATCGTTAATATCAACTACTTTAATATGTGCCTGGATGGCATTATATCCTACAGAATGGTTAAATAACATTATGGAACTAAAAATAACACCTATGGAAGGGAGGTATGCTATGATCGTCATAGCTTTAATCAATTTCATTGTGTGTATGATCTTTGAGGATATAATAGTAGACTCCTTCGTAAGTAAAATTATAGCTCCTAGATTTAGAAACATCGAAAAATCGCATAAACAGTATTTAAAGGTTGCAAAGGATATAAATTCAGATATAAACTGGCCCAGCATAAGTGATAAAGAAACTGTGATTTTAAATGATTTTTCCAGGGATGAAATTTTGAATGGGGTTGTAAATAATGGGTTTATTGATCATGAAAATAGTGTAATTACAAAATGTTAAAAACAATTTGATCAAACATGTATACTATGTATATACGTATGTCAATTGCTATAATAAGCCTATAGGGTAATCCCAGTTTTTGATACATAATCATGAAGTAATCTTGCTAAACTGTTACTTTGTGTAAAAGTTTATTTTTCCTTGAATATAGGATAATAAAATCTGTATTTTTCCTAGATAACAACTTATGTAAAAACGATTATTTTTATTTAAGACAGATTAATAAGAATTTAAGATATTTTGTATAATACAAATGTAAATAATGTAGAAATGTAAAATATACTCATATTTATAATTGCATTTTATTATCTGTTTCCTTTTCCGTGTTTCCCTCATAAATCTCTATAAATAAACTAACATTAATTCATAAAAATTCATTCGGCTTCTCTTAAGATATTTTCTTCCTAATAAAGTACATGCCTCCTAGTGGCGGGATACTGGCAACAATATATTGGCTTATAGGGCAGTCTTTACGGTAGGGATCCTGGTCTGTGCAAAAGAATGCAAGCGGATGTAGGGTAATACTCCACTAACTTGCATTGATGGTGCCTTGGCTGAAAGGACACGATACTGATAGTAAAGGCGTTTAGATATCAAACGTCCGAAAATCTTTTCAGACCATAATGAAAATATATGCTCCGATGTAATAGAAAATGATACTGATGGATGGTATCTCCTGAGGTAAAATATTTCGAAAATAAACTGAGGCCCCTTTCGGATTTCCAAGTGAGGACTATTTAACAGCATTATAGGCTAGAAAAATTAGATAATCCTGGTGGGTAAAGACTAGGTGGGGAGGACAAAGCGAGGAAGAACTAAGGACTAAGAACTAAAGTAGGATATGAAGAATGATGATCATGATGATGTATCTCTCTCTTCAATCCTGACCCCCCAGAGGGAGTGTAGTGGTCGACGTGATGTCGTGTATTGTCCGTCTCCAGAGATCTCTGTCTCTGGTCATTTCTTTTAATTCATGCATAGGTCTTTGGCATATTCCTGTAATTTGATCTATCCATCTTGTTGGGGATCTTCCTCGTGATCTTCGGCCTTTTACCTTTCCTTGTATTATGAGTCTTTCCATGTTTTCTGTGTTTGCTCTCATAACTTGCCCAAAATATTTTAATTGTTGGAGATGGACTTTACTAGAGAGTCGTTGGCTAACTTTTAGCTCTCTTAAAATTGAATTATTTGTTCTACGGTCGGTCCAAGGAATTCGTAACATTCGTCTCCAACAGAACATTTCAGTGGCGTCTATCTTTTTTCTCTCCGATTGTCTCAGAGTCCAAGATTCACATCCGTAGGTCAGTATTGGGAATATTAAGCACTTGATCAATCTCATCTTTATCGCTCTTGAAATTTGACAGTCCTTCCATATTTTGGTCATTTTTGCTGTGGCAACTTTTGCTAGATCACATCTACGTTTAAACTCTTCTTGTAATGACCCTGTGTTTGTGATTAATGATCCCAGATATAAGTATGAGCTCACAACCTCGAACTGGTCAATTGTGGTTATGTGTGGATGATTGTTGTGTAGTCTATCCACTATCATGATCTTTGTCTTTGATATGTTTAATTGCAGACCAAATATTTGACTTTCGTTTTCGATCAGTCGTATAAGTTTTATCAGCTCTGCTTGACTATTTGCAATCATCTGCGAAACGTAGCTTGTTTAGTTTATGACCATTTATTGAGATGCACTTTTCCCATCCTTCAAGTGCTCTTCGCATAATATACTCTCCATATATGTTGAATAACTGTGGAGATAGTATACATCCTTGTCTGACACCCCGTTCTGGATGAAACTCGTTCGAAAGTGTGTCAAGTACTTTAACTGATCCAGTAGTGTGTTCATATAGGTCAGTTACAAGCGTAATTAGATGTTGTGGTACGCCTACTTCTTTTAGTATTCACCATAAGTGTCTCCACTTGACCCTGTCGAACGCTTTACGGTAATCTATAAAACAGATGTATAGTGGGAAGTTGAATTCCCTAGATTTCTCGATTATCTGTCTTATATTCAGCAGGTGTTCTCGAGTGCCTCTACCTTTGGTAATCCAGTTTGCTCTTGTGAAATTTCTATTTGGAGGAAAGTTTTCAGTCTCTCATTGATTATATGTAGCAATATCTTGCTAGCATGGGATATAAGAGAGATAGTTCTATAATTTTCGCATTTATGGAAGCTGCCTTTTTTATATATGCTCGTTATTGTAGATTTTGTCCAGTCTTCAGGCCATTGTTTGGAATGTCATATTTGGTTACAGAGTAATTCTTCTGTGGCTTTAAGCATTTCTGCTGTTATCATATCTGGACCTGGTGCTTTGTTATATTTGAGCTTGTTGATAGCCTGTCTTACTTCATTTTCGAGTATATCAGGTTCTTCTTCCACCTCGTCAGAGATTTGGCTAACAAGCTCTTGGCGTTGATCATCTTTATATAGGTCCCTGCAATACGATCTCCATGTCTCTGCCATGTCTTCTCTGTTTATTCTTAGGGTTCCAGTGTTATCTTCAATGGCCCAAGTTCTGGCTCTGAAGTCTCTTGTCAGGTAGAATATTTTTCTAAATAGATCTCTCGGCTGATTATTCTGACCATGTCTTTCAATTTCTTTGCATATACTTTGATAGTAGAGTCAAAGTCTAGACTTTGATAGACAAAGAGCACAAAATCGTGAGGAATGGAGGAGTTTAAGGGAGACCTATGTCCAGCAGTGGACGTGATAAATAGAGGCTGGATGATGATGATGATGATGATACTTTGATAGTACTGTTTTTTGTCGGCCTTACATCTTCGTTTTATTTCTTTATTGAGGTTTCTTAAACTAGCTTTTTCCCTTTCACTATGTACACCACTTTTACTTTTAAGATTTCTTCTATTCTCAATTATTTTAAGAGTTTCATCTGTTATCCAGTGTTTCCGTTTCACCGGATTATTTTTCTTTGAGCGATCCACTGGTGTTGTTACGCAATGTTTAACAGTCTCCCATATTTCTTGTGATGTTCCGTTACGAATAGAGGGCATACTTTTCTGTACTTCCTGTAGAAGGTAGTATAGATATGATGATGTATATATACATATATAATCCGTTTTGAGTACATTACCTTTCTTGCGTTCTTCGCACTTTGTTATCGCTGAAAATAAAGAATAGATGATAGCAATAAAGATAGAATTTTTGTTTCATGTTTGGAGTCTAATATATACTCGTACACCACACAACTAGCATAACTATTCGCCAGAGGCTTAGAAGAGACAAAGAAATTATTAACACCATAAAGAGTAGAAAATTGGCATACTTTGGCCACATTACGTGTAATAATAAATACCTACTTTTGGTGATTAAGAGCAAGAGAGACTCTGGATACAAACGTATATTTTGGCTGATCAATCTTAGAAAATGGACTGGTCTGACGTCAACTGATCTATTTCGAGCTGCTATGAATAGAATAAGATGGGTCAATGTGGTTGCCAACATCACTAGAAGATCACTTCCATTACCACCACAGTGATATTTATCCTCCCTGGCCTGGATTAACAAGCATTTAAATTTATTTAATGTTTTGTATTTTGAGATCAATTTCCGAAATTGAAATCGAAACGTCAAAATAAAATCCACAAGGAAAATGAAATGCCTGTAGTTGGCTGTATACCATGGATCACAAACATGTTCTTTAATCCTCTAAAAGTGGCTTTCACGTGCAATTGTTGACAGTTGGGAATATATATATATATATATATATATATATATTATATATATATATATAATATATATATATATACATATATATATATATATATATATATATATATATATATATATACTCTAAAAAGACCCTTTCGGGCTACATCACAGAACGTTTTCGGACATAAGTCCATCGTCAGTGCAGTTGCCTGAAATAGGTATCACTTGGAAAGCAAACATCTTCCCCATCATCATCATAAGTGGCACAATATGTTGTGGATCTTGGCTTGTTCACAAAGGAGTCGCATTCCTGTCGATTGCTGGCAACTTTCCTCTATCTTCTGACCCTTAGAATTTGTAGGTCTTCTTCCACATCATCTATCCATCTCATTCATGGTCATCCTCGGCTTCTTGTACCCTCTGGTTTTGAAAATGTTAATATCTTCGTGTATTCGTGATCTAACGTCCTAGGAATGTGTCCAGTTCATCTAATTCTCTGCACTTTAACGAATTTCACAATATCTGGATCGGTGTATAACTGATATACACTAAAAGCCAAATAAAGTTGCGTGCACGTCACCAATGTCGTAATTCTATTGTATGTGTGGCTACATTTCTATGGAAAAGTGTATGTTACTTTAGTTTGCTAAACAATCACTTTTAAAAATAAGCCGAGCAATAAAAAAACTTTTGTAACAAAATAATGTATATACAGCTATGTATATATAGCTTGTTTGGATTTAGACGTCCGTCATTGTAAAATTTTGTGTTGAAATGTTCTTAAAGAAACCACCAATTATTGACGGAGTATTAGTCACTACCAGAAATATTGTCATGTTGCCGCGTTGTTTGTTGAGTTTTCAATCAGTGGCCTGTGACTTTTGTACTCGTGGTATCGTCGATTTTTGAGGTTATCTTATTTACTTGTCATTTTTACACTTATTTACTTGTCAAAATTCCCAAACAGCTAAATAGTCGATGCAAAGAACTTGTGGCTTCATTAGTTAACTGTTTTGAAGAAGAAAGGATTAATAATGACCCTTTGTTACCCATAAATGCTGTGCAAGAGGTAATATGCGAATAAAATATCATTACTTTACTTCACAAAAATTTGTATTATTTTAGCGTGTAGCTGCTGCTTTAAAAATCAGCGTGAGAACAGTAAGCAGCATATGTCAAATGCAGAAAAAAGGTGAACAGTTCGAGTCACCAAAGAAAAAGCGTTGCGGTAATAAACGAGTAACAAATACAACAACTAAAAATACAAGCTCTATTCGTGATACCATTTACAATATGTACCAGAGAAGTAAGTATGATTATAACAAATATACATTTAACATAATTTTATTTCTGTATGCTTTTAGAACAGCACGTAACGGTTCAATCATTGTGGTCCCAATTGAAAGATAAAGAATTATTTAATGGTAGTACGACTTCTTTAAAAAGATTGCTCAAAGAACTTGGGTTTGAGTGGATGAAGGATAATCCACGACGAGGACTTATGGAATTACCTAACGTTGTTTGTAAAAGAGTACATTTCTTAAGAACCTATAAAGAAGCGAAGGATGAAGGTATATACCAATTCGTGTTCCTCGATGAAACTTGGATATTTCAAAATGG